TGAGCCGAAGTCGTGCCGGGTGCGGTGAGGATTTCCGGAGAAGATGGGGAGAAAAAAGATCCAGATCCAGCGGATCACGGACGAGCGCAACCGGCAGGTCAGTGCTGTGTCCCCGCTCCCTCACCCTTCTTCCCCTGGGGATTTTTGTGCCATGTTTCAGAGTGACCCGTTTCCATCCCATTTTGGGCCACCGGTGCTGTGTTTTTCCCAGTCCATAAAAGAAGCAGAGGCTTAGGCCGGATCCAGGCGGATCCAGGACCAGGCAAACGTTGCTCCTTGCCTTGGAGCTCCTTGAGCTCTTTCCATCTAAGTGCTTTTCCAGAAGAAAGTATCTTCTCCACTTAGTTCCCCCACCCCCCTTTTTTTTTTTATTTTTGTCTTGCAGAAAATATATTTCAGTTGACATTTTCCATGTGGTTTTTCCAATAAAAAACAGCCACAACAAGTATCCATTTTGCTGAACGCAAACAACTCAAATTATTCCTTTTTTTTCCCCCCTTCAATTGTAGACTTAAATTACTCCAGGGCTTTTTTCCTTGGGCTCTCTTGAAGCCAAGCCCAAGACACGCATGTGCATGTGTGTAGGAATGCGTTCATGTATCTCAGAGGAAAAACAAAAACCAACAGATTTTTCCCAAATTTCCATGTTCCTTAAACTGGAGTGGTGGAGCAGCAGCACGTTGCCAGCCCAGGTTTGCTCTGGGATGACTCTCGATGTATTTCCCATTACCACAAGACTTCCAGGCTGGTCCCTTTGCTTTCTGTGCTCCTGGAGTTTGGCTCAGCAGATCCAAGTCTCTGCCTTTAGTCCAGCCACTACTGCACCCTGCCACACTTCTTTCCTGCCACTTTCACTCCAGAAAAACAGAAAAACCAGTTAAAAAGCATGTGGATATATTCCTAATCCTTAATGAGTGTCAAAGAACAGAACTGGATGAACCACTTTATGCTCCACAGCAAAACAATAGGAAATGGCAGATTTTCCTCATTATAGCTTCACTTGGTGGTGGGGGCTGGGGCAGGAATGAAGTAGTTTCTGCTGATGTCCCAGTCGCTCCTGGGGCTGTGTATGTCCATCATGAGGAGGAAGCAGGGCCTTAGGGGCTGTTGAAGGATCTGGAGTGTATTTTATGGGGCAGTGGTGCAGAGGGGAGTGAGGGATCTGCAGTGACTGGAGCCTTGCTGGAAATTCAGACAAATGGAAAATAATGGGTACTGCTGGAGGGGAATGGCTGGATAGACCTTCAGGAGAGGAAGGAGGCACTTCTCTGCAGAGGCAGCAGCTGAGGGGTGGGACTGCTCCTGAGGGATGAGCTGACCCTCAGCCCTGGCTGGAGGTCAAGACCCTTGCTGAGGTCTCACAGCGTTGGGTGGGATTTGGCAGCAGGAGTTGCTTTGCATGGCTGGGTGTCATGGCTTTGGTGCATCTCTAATGTCAGGTGTCCCCAAAACCCAGTTCCCTGGGCTGGGGGACACTGGTTTTTCCTGGCTGGGCTGGTTCTTCCAAAACCCAGCACAGGAGCATCGCTCTCCAACCCAGTGCAGCACATCTTGCTTTGCTTCCAGAAACCAGCCTGATCAAACTGGGTGTCAGCAAAGCAGCAGCTGTTTAATTGGTCACCAGCACAGCTTTGCAATCAATTTTCACTGCTCCCTTTCTTTGGGAATAAAGGACATACCAGGAAGATGGGACATTTCATGAAAAAGGACTGCTCCAGGTGGTGGGATCTGCTCTATCCACTGTTGTAGGAGCTGTAAGGAGGGTGAGAATTCTCTTGCTCCCCTCTCCTGCTGTACATGTGCAATGCCAGCATCCCCTCCCCACAGTCAGAAGTGTCCCATGTTGTTTTTTCTCATAGAAGCATGGAATGATTTGGGTTGGAAGGGATCTTAAAAGTCCATCTTGTCCCACCTCCCTGCCATGGGCAGGGACACCTTCCACTATCCCAGGCTGCTCCAAGCCCTGTCCAACCTGGCTTTGGACACTTCCAGGAATGGGACAGCCACAGCTTCTCTGGGCAAACTGTGCCAGGGCTTCAGCATCCTCACAGGAAAAATTCCCTTCTAATATCCCATCTAAATCTCCCCTTTTTCAGTTTGAAACTCTGCCCCTTGTCCCATCACTGTCTGCCCATGTAAAAAGTCCCTCTGTGTCTGTTTGATAAGCCCCTTTAAGTGCTGGGAGGCTGCAGTGAGGTCTCCCCAGAGCCACCTCTGGCTTCTCCCTCTCCTTCCCTGCCTCTCCTGCTGTTGCTGGGGCTCAGTGATGAGGAGCTGATGCGTGCCTGCCTGCTGTGGCTGCAGGCTGCCAGCTGAACTGGCTTAAGCCCAGCCTGGGAGCATCCTCAGCCCACCCCTGCCCCCAGAGCAGCCCTGTCCCTGCTCCAGCTGGGGGCTGGGGGCAGGTCAGCTCTCCTGAGCTGCTGGAATGCGGGGCTGATGCCCTGGGTGCCCTGGAGAAGGAGAGATTCATCTTGAGCAGGGGCTGCTGGGGCTCAGCAGGGGCTCTTCCAGAGCCTTTGGTGCGAGGTGGAGCTCTTCCCTGCATCTCACACTGAGCCTGCAGCATCATCTGGCCCTGCTCCTGTCCCAGGTTTTTCCTTGCGTGGGAGCATGAGCCACGAGCCCACATGAGGTTCCAGCAGGGTGTGAAGCTGCTGGAGTGGGTCCAGAGGAGGCCACGGAGATGCTCTGAGGGCTGGAGCCCCTCTGCTCTGGGTGTTCAGCCTGGAGAAGGCTCCATGGAGATCTAAAGGAGCTCTGGGACCTGGACCTGGAGTGACAGGAAAAAGGGAGAATGGTTTTAAACTGAAAAGAGGGAGATTTAGATTGGATATTAGGAGAAAATTCTTCCCTGTGAGGGTGGAGAGGCCCTGGCACAAGTTGCCCAGAGCAGCTGTGGCTGCCCCATTCCTGGAAGTGTCCAAGGCCAGGTTGGACAGGGCTTGCAGCAGTCTGGGATAGTGGAGGTGGGACAAGATGAGCTTTTAGATCCCTTCCAACCCAAACCAGTGTGTGATTCTGTGAATTACAGCAGCAGCCAAAACCAGGGGAGGAGAGCAAGTAAGAGTCGCTAATGTCATTAGAGGAATTACTGGAGAGGATTTGCCACAACAGATCAGGCCATCAGTCCTTCAGGGCCAGGCCGCTGACTCTGGCAACTGCCAATATGCTTTACATCAGGGGAAAGGCAAAAAATCCCCTGCTAGTGTGGGGCAGTAATTCCTTCCTGACCCCTTTGGTGATCGGCTTATGCCCTGAAGCATGAGATTTGATTACCCTCTTAGACTTACAAGGTTAATTCTTCTCGATGAAGCTCATGCACGGCGTCAGGGAAGGTTTGAGGTTTGTGTCCCAGGTCATGGGTGGATGCACAAAGCCCTGTTAGGTGATGCTTTTGAGTGATGTGGTGGCTAAATGGCAGATCCTTGCTTTTCTCTGCAAGGTGCAGGGATGCCAATAGAGAGGGATGCTCTTGGGCCCTGTCTGCAGAGGGAATATCCCCTCATCTCTAGAGGGATAATTTGGTGTTTAGTGTTCTGCTGAGCTCTGCCAGGCTGCTGGTTGATTTGGGGAGGATGACCCACACTCTTCACTACTCAAGGGCAGAACCCAAACCATGCTTGTCACTGGCCTTCAAGGCCGAGAGCTGCCCCATTTTTTGGACCCCACATCTCGACCTCACCACGTTTCCTCCAGCCTTGGTGGCTGAGCCCATCGTGGTGCCTGGCAAGGTGTGTTTTGGCCAAGTGTCCCTGGCACTGGTGGCTGCAGGAGCAGCCCTGGGCTGTTTGTTTCCTCCCGAGGGCCAGGGAGAGCCTGGAGGCCACCCTGGCAGGGACAGCGAGCCAGGTCCTGCTGGGGAAGGGGGCAGAGGGACAGGTTTTGGTTTTAGAGCCTGTCCTGCCACGGCTGCAGGAGCAAACTGCAGCTGGGTCCCACCTGGAGTCACTGTGGCCACGGCTGGGCCGTGGCACTGCTGGGCTTGGGAGCTGCTCACCAGCAGAGGTTTTGGGTGGCTGAGAAGTCCAGAATGCTGCTGGGGAGGGGAGCTGTTGGTGGCACGGGACTGGCCCTGAAGTGATTTAATTTGCAGCAGAGAGCGCCGGGGCCGGGCGGCGCTGCCAGCGTGCGTGGCCGAAGCAGGCGCACGTGGCGGCCGCAGCGCAGGGCACCAGCCCTGCCCTTTCCAGGGGATGAGGCGATTAGAGCTCAATCTCATTACTGCTTAATTATCTCTGGGAGATGGCGGGGAGGGGCAGCAGCTCCCCTTGCCAAGCGTGCCCAGAGCTGCCCCTGCTCTGCCCTCCCGCCGCACGTGGGGCACGGTTTTGTCTCGAGGGTGCAGGACCCTGAGGGTGCGTTCTGGGTGCTGCTGGTAGCTCCACGTTGAGCTCTCCAGACCACTGACAGGCTGAGCAAAGGCAGCAGCCTCATTCACTCTCCGAGCTCTGCTCTGTGAATTAAAGCTGTTTGTTGCAAAACTGATGCTGTGGTGGAGGCCTAGAGTGGTGTTCAGCCTTCCCACGTGGAGAGGGAGCAGCTCTTGGCACCCAGGGGCATCTCAGCTCATCTCCAGCCCTTCCCCTGGAGGCTGCTTTGCCCCCAGAGCAGTGCTCAGCACAAAGCCGTGACCTCCCGCCTGTTATTTTCCTTTTCTGCTTTTTATTTGCTGAGAGGGCTCTGGCCAAGCGTCGCGCCTTGCCCGTCAGCGTGCCGCGTGTTCTGGGGGTGGGGGACCCTCAGCAGCTGTCTGCGCTGCAGCCGGGACAGGGAGCCCCAAAGCAGCTCTCTCTCCAGCAGCTGGCTCCTGTTAGCAGCGTGGGCTGGGGATCGCAGCCCAGCGTCTGCCCGGCAGCTGGGGCTGCTGTTGGAGCCAGCACCCAGCCCCAGGGGTGGCCCCAGCCCCAGCCAGCTGCAGGATCAGTCCTGCAGGAGCTGCCTCCTCCTGCTGCAGCTCAAGGCAGGGCGGCTCGGGGACGCAGGGGACCCCAGTTGGGCGGGCAAGGAAGAAAAGAACCCCAGGGAGGTTCCACAAAGGGACAGCAAGATGAAAGTGGCACAGGGGGGCTCATGGTGCCCATGGGGAAGTATAGCCTGGTGGGATAAGTGGGGGCTGGTGAATCAGGGGTGGGGTGGGCACCCCTGGGCGGTTTTGGGGTGCTGAGCCCCAGCTCTGTGGCCCCCAGGGTTGGGCACTTGCAGCGCAGCTGCAGCAAGCGAGGACAAGATCCTGATCGCTTGAATATTCCACTTAAAAACCCGCAGCCCCTGGACAGATGGCAGCTCTGCTGGGGATTTTGCTGAAATTTATTTTCTCTTGATTTGGCAATATGTGATTTCCAACGCTGATAATCATCTTTGTGCTTGTGAAGTGTCTGCCTTTGGAGGATCCCAAAATAGGCAGCAACATGAACCGTTCGGAAGAGGGAGGCGAGAGAGGAGAGCTCAGGGTTGGGTCCAGTTGGGGAAACTGAGACAGAATATTCCTTCTGCACTCCCCTTCCTTTTGCTCTTCCTCCAGTGGTCATTCCATTTTCCTCTGGGAGCTGTTGGGTGTGTGGCAGCACGGCTTCTCACCGTGGCTGTCCTTGCTTTCAGGTGACCTTCACCAAGCGCAAGTTTGGCTTGATGAAGAAAGCCTACGAGCTGAGCGTCCTGTGCGACTGCGAGATCGCCCTCATCATCTTCAACCACTCCAACAAGCTGTTCCAGTACGCCAGCACCGACATGGACAAGGTGCTGCTCAAGTACACCGAGTACAACGAGCCCCACGAGAGCCGGACCAACGCAGACATCATCGAGGTGAGGCTCCCCAGCTTCGCCACGGTGGCAGAGCCAGGCCCGAGTCTGGTGCCACACTGGGTGCAGGAGGTTGTTGCAGGGTGGGGATGGAGCAAGCAGATCTCCCACACTCAGTGCCAGATGGATTTTGTGTGGTTTTGGTTCAGCCTACAGAAATGCTCCGTTCTGGGTAGTAGAGTTGAAGCTGTCTCCAGTTGTGTGTTGACCTGCTGCTTTGAAACTTGAGGTGCAGGTTTGCTCTGTGGGACCCTGCTGTGGAATCCAGGCAAAACACAAGGTGGATTTGGAGGCAGCTCCTGCTGGAGTGCCTGGTGCAGCTGGTGGCATTGTTCTGGAGTACAGCTGGTCACATTGCCCCCACCTGATATTCAGACAGGCACAGCAGAGTTGTGGGAAGGCTCCAGTGCCCAAATTGCAGGGGAATTCAGGTGAGATGGACCAGGTGGGATGGTCCAGTGCCTGCTCAAAGCATGGCCAAGCTCATGGGTTGGTGGGTTTGCTCAAGGCTTGTCTGGCTGTGTTTTGTGGGTCTCCAGGGATGGCCCAGCCACACTCAGTCTGACCCATCCCCAGCACCATGCCCAAACTGTGCTCACTTCAAAGCTGCTCTCCTCCAGCCTGCTGGCATTGCAGGAGGTGCTCAGCTGCCTTGTGCTGGTGCTGCCGCCACACTGGCCCTCTGCACAGCTTTGTCCTTGTCCCTGGTGCTGGCTGAGCATTGCTGGGCTGGAGCACGGGGCACATTTGGCTCTCAGGACAGTGCCAGCAGTGCCTTGGTCATTGGTCACATCCTCTCGGCAGTGGCTGTGCAGATGGAGCTGCAGGGTCCTCAGCATGGGGGCAGCTGCCATTAAACCTGCACAGACAGGCAAATGAAGGGCTTGGCTTTGTCATTAGTGGCATTGTGGGCATCAATTAATGCCCTCAGAGCCACTGGTGGCAGAGTGGAGCAGCACGGCCTGCACTGCTGGAGGAATTGGGCTTCTGCTTCAGCCTTTGAATTCCTTTGGTGCCCCTTGGCCAGTCTGCTCAGGCTTTGATTTCATGAAGAAGGAAAAAAACTCAGGCTGCCCCTGCCCTCCAAAATCTTGCTTTCTTTTTCCTTTTTTATGCTCTGTAAAATGTGTCTTTTTGAGAGATTTGGACATGAGGTTTTCACCCCACGGCTGAGCCAAGCATCTCCCAGCATCCGCCTTCCTTTGCTGGGCTTTGGAGGCTCTTCTGCCACAGCACAGTTGTGTAGGGGGCCTTGAAAATGGTTCCAAAATGTCTTTTTTGGCCAGTTGGAGCCAGGTCATGCCCCTTTGCTGTGCAGATGCCGGCGGCTCCCTGCCGCAGCCTCTCCGGGATGCTCAGCCTGCGCTCGCAGCATCGAACAGATTTGTCTTGGCCTAAAAATACCATAAACATTTTGGGCAGCGTTCTCTGTTCCCTTATGGTCCAAGATGCAAACACTCCCAAGCCGACAAGTTACACACAGTCCTTGGCACCCAAAGAAACGCTGTGTTTGCACCACATGAAAAGCTGGATCCGCATCCAAAGCCGAGGAGAGGAACATCGGGAGCGGAAGGATATTGGTGGATGGCAAGAAAAAGAGCCCAAACACGCTGGGCTCGGCAGGGCTTGCTGGCAGAGCTGTCATGGAGCAAAACCTGCTGGGGTGCAGGCAGGTTTGGAGGCTGCTCAAGCTTCCCTCCTCATCCTTGTCTTGTCTGGGAGCAGGGTTGGGGCTGCTCTAGGATTTTTACTGTTTCCTGAATCCATGCCCCCAGGACACCATTCCTGCTCTTGTGCTGATTTCTGTTTCCCCTCGCCCAGGTCAGGTTCCAACAGCCCAACCGTGTCCCCACTGCACACAAATCCAATTTATCTCCTGTTTCTTGGTGGCTCCCAGTTGAACTTGACTCACAAAAAGTGTCTTCTCATTCTGGAAGCTTCCCCACATTGAGCATTTAGGGACTGCGAAAACTCAGGCTGGGAGTTTGCCACCAAATGTGATTTTAAGTGGCTTTCAAGGGGCAGCTGCATCAAGCCACCTTCACTGTGATGTCTGCCTGCCTTTCCTGCTGAGGGCTTCGGCTCTGAGTGGCTCTGGCAGCATCTCAGGAAGGATGAGGAGCAGCCAGGACCTGGAGGAATTGAGGCAGAAGTCTCTGGATTTTGTTTTTGTGGTGGAAGGGGAGCAAGCAGCGGCTCTGGAGGGCTAAGCCAAGCACTGCCAGGCTCGGGGCTCCTGGGCCAAACAGCACTGGTACCACAGCTCAAGGCAGGATGAGTTGCTCTGTTTAAAATGACAGCAAACATGAGATCTCCTGGTTTTTGGTCCTGGAGAGGTGGATCTGAGCGTTGGACTGAGGGCACCCCACATTCCATGCTGCACGGGAATGTCCCTGAGGGGTTTATCCCCTGCATATTTAGTGAGAGCAGAGCTGCTCCATGCTGAGCATACACAGCCCTAGCTCAGGAGGGGTTCCACACCCCAGCTGCTTTTTGGGGACCATTCCCTGGAAGGACCCCCCCTGTGTTTCAGCAGTGGCTCTCAGGAGCGGGATTCAGCCACACAACCCCTGCAGCTTCTCCGTGCCTTGCAAAGTCCTGGTGATTGCAGGCTTTTAAGTCTGAGCAAATCTCTCTGATGCAGAGAGGGGGGTTTCCTTAATCAGGCGGGGGCCAGCTGAGCCCCCAGCCGGGCACGCTGGGCGCCACGTGCGCCCGGCCGGGGATCGCGCCGGCTTTGCTCCTCGCTGTCGCTTCTCGTTTCCTCCCAGCCCCGCTGACGTGCCAGCTCCTGATCAGGGACCTGGACAGGGCAGAGCTCGCTGGGCACTAGGATGCTCCACAGCCAGTTAAAGGCACACAGCCCTTTCTGCCCTTCCCTTGGCTGAATGGCCTGGAGGGGCTGATTTTCCCCTAACTCGCCTTCCCGGGGTTGTCATTCCCCAGGGTGTGTTAAATCAGATGTTCTGCAGGATGCTGGGGAGGTGGCAAAATGCAGAGGCAGCTGCCAGTGTCAATGTCTTCATCCTCATTCTCATCCTTATCCTCGTCCAGACTTCCCCAAAGCCCAGAGTGGCTGAGTCTCCCTCCTCTAAGGGAAGTCAACTGCATCCTGGTTGAGCATCGTTTCCTCTCACATGTTCTGCATTTCCTGCTGCTCTCTTACCCTCTTCGGGTTGGAAATCTGCTCCCCTGTGAGCTGCAGTTGTGGCAGTCAGAATATTGCCTGGAAAAGCAGGATGTGCAGTGGGTCCTGATAGAGTGGGGGGACCTGAGCGTGGCAGGGAGAGGGGCAGGTGATGACTGAAGTGGGCTTTGCTATGGGAAGTTCTCACCCTGGTTTTAAATTTTCTGCTGTAAAGGAATTGCTTTTAAATCTGTTCCATATGAAAAATGGTTGTGTTCTGCTGGCTGCAGCCCAGTGACAGAAAGGTTTCCTGAAAACCTCTTTGCATCTTCTGTTTTATGCCTGGCAAAAAGAAAGAGGAGAAATAAGAAGGAAAGTTCTTTTCTAAAAGACCTTGCAGAGATCCCGAAAACAGGAATCTTTGGGTTTGATTCCCGCTCCAGCAGAATTGTTTTCCTTTTACATCATCTTGACAAAAAGCTAAAAATGTGGGATACACATTTTTTTTGGTTAAAAAACCCGAAAGAACCAGCAGCCAACGCCCGTATGGCTGGAAATGGCATTTTGTTGTCCCAGAGCTCTCGTTGAGCAGCAGATTGCTGCAAGCCACGCTGCCTTGGCTCGTGTCCTGCTGCCCCTCCGCCGCCGTGCTTCCCGTCCCCTGAGCTGGGATCAGCCCCGTGCTCAGCCCTGCCAGCCCTGCAGCTCGTCCCCATCCCCTTCCCTGCAGCTCCTCAGGGTGTCACAGCCTCTGTGCAGCCCCAGGTCACAGTCCCGGGTCAGGGTCACTGTCCCAGGTCAGG